TTTTTTTGAGATGGGATCTCACTCTGTCTCCCAGGCTGCAGTGCAATGGCGTGCTCACAGCTCACTGCAGCCTTGACCTCCCAGGCTCAAGTGATCTTCCTACCTCAGCCTTCCCAGTAGCTGGAACCACAGGTTGTGCTACCATACCTGGCTAATGTTTTTGTGTTTTGGAGAGATGGGGTTTCCCTATGTTTCCCAGGCTAGTCTCGAATTCCTCCGCTCAAGTGATCCTCCCTCCTCAACCTCCAGAAGTGCTAGGATTACAGGCATCACCCACCATGCCTAACTATTAATATAATTAATACTGAATAATTCAGTATGAGGAACTCTTTTAAGACATTTTGCTTCTTATAATGTGTTTATTAATCTCAGGGATATAATAGAATTTGAAATTTGTAGAATACACAAAAGATCAGTTTGACCATGGAGCTATTTTTCTTTTAGCTGATTTTTCAGAATAAATTACATTGAATAAAACTACCCATTAGTCAGCCAACCTCCACCACTTCTTCTTGCAGGCCCTTTATAAGTAACTCTACACTCCATCTAACTAGACAAAAAGCCCTCAAGCTGGGAAAGAATGTGAATTTGAGCTTGCCACAGATAAGCATGAATAGATTGCACTAATCACTTGCTTGAATGATAAAGAAAACAATGACACAGGCTAGGGAGCACAGAAAATCACTATAATGGCAATTAGGGCATAAATGCTCATCCTAAGAACTGGAGGACTCCTAGTGGGCTAAATCATTTCTGAAGACCTCACTAAATCAATGGGGAGCACAAAGCATAGGTATCTTCAGAGCTGACTGGGTAGGATCTTTGCTTCTTTGTCTGTTCACTTTTTTCTTTATTTCCCTGATTAGCAGGCTACAAGAGGAGTTCAAGAAAGTAAAAATAATTATTTCAATTGCTCTTTCATACTTCCAGCAAATTTCTGTCTAAAGGCAGAAAATAGCACAGATTTGTCCAGGTGCATCAGTTGGTGGAAAGTTGAAACTAAAAGCTCAATGATTTGGGGTAAATTTCAGAAGATTACATACATCCATGTCTTATGACAACAATGATCAAAAATCACTGCATTCTGGGCAAACAAGTTCTCTGCAATTTTTTTTTTTAAATGAGGATTTCTGAAATCAGCATGTGGACTATATGTATAATTTTTAGTAACTCACTAGGTAACATTTACAAACAAAAGACTCCAAGTGTACTCTTTATATAAATTTGGCATTTTGATCAAGTCTGACATCCACACGCTCATCTCTGGTGCTAAGTTTACTAATGTGCTCACCCACCCACTGATGGCTGAATTAATTGAACAACTCTTACCTTACTTACTCTCTTGCATCTATTTGCCTTTTCTTTTCCTTTTGCCTAACTTTTTCTTAGGTTTATATATTGGTTTGGGACATTTTATGATACCAGCTTATCACAAACACAATATCCTGGTGAGACAGAAGACCAATATTTGTTTCTATCACTGTAATGTGTGTTTAATGGAAACTGCGTACGTGTGTGTGTTTATCTATCTATCTATCTATCTATCTATCATCTATCTATCTTATGAACCTAATAGTTCAGTCAACTACTGTCTGAATACTATGATTAGTCCTATGTCCTACCTGCCCCCTTGTGCATCAATCTTCACAACTTCTAATTTGTGACAGAGATAAATGGGCTGTCAATGGTAAACTACAAAGATGACTTGCTGTTTCTCTTTCCCTTGCAGAAATAGCTTATTGCCTTACAGAATTACTTTGGTTAAACTCTGCAGTTACATTGTCTGGTTATAAAATGCTTAATGGGAAGTTTCTCCCCACCTCCATTTGTTTTAACAAACACGAGAATTAGAAGATATGTGAGTAATCATAAAATCTCATCTTGCACCCAAAGGAAATATTCCTGTCAGATGCTATATTACTTATCTACAGCTGCATACAAAATTACTCCAAAACATAGCAATTTAAACATACATTTATTATCTCATCCAATTTGAGGTTTGGGAATGTGGGACCGGTTTAGTCGGGTGGTTCTGGCTCAGGATCGCACAGGAGGCTGCAGTGAAGCTGTCAGCTGGGGCTGCAGTCATCTGACAACTAGGCTGTGGCATGAAGACCCACTTCTACACTCATGATGTAGCTTCTGAAAAGAGGCTTCACTTCCTCACTGTGTAGGTCTCTCCACAGGGCTACTCACAACATAGCAGCTGGCTTCCCCGAGTAAGTGATCCATGGGAGTGAGATTGACCAAAATATACGAGGCAGTGCCTTTTACAACCGAATCTCGGAAAAGACAGACTATTACTTCTTCCATATTCTATTGGTCTTATATAATTACTGAAATTTGGGACAAGATCGCACAAGGGTGTGAATAATGGGAGAGAGTGGTGAGCAGAGGCCATGATGGAGGCCGGCTGTCATAGATGTTTGTTCAGTTTCTGATAGGAGGGTTGCTACCTCAGGTGGCAGTGTATCCCATCTCTGCACAATTAAAACTGTTAGACAAGCTCTTCTCAGGCCAAAATTTAACTTCATTAGAGATGAGGGGAAAGAAACAAGGACAATTTGTTATTTCTCTTTCACTTTGCACTCAATGATCTTGACTCAATTTCACTTTGGACTCAGTTATCAAAAAGGAATAAACGTATTTTTTACTAATTTTATTCTATAGTGTGGTTAAATAGTATGCCAGGGAAGAAAAAAAATAGTGAATAAAAGAGAAAGGGAGATTATAAATATAGACAGACAGGAGTAAATACCTATTTGAGGCTGAAGTAGGTCTCAGGATAAAATTGAGCCCACAACTGTTGCCACACTGGCTACAATTTATCTCTCCTCTCTTCTCTCTTATAGTACCAGATTAATTTTCGATTTTCTAGTTTTAATAGCAAGGTTTGTGGGTTAGAGCCATTCTAATATCTTGTAACTACAATTTAATTTATGTGATTTGCAGCAAAATATGGCAGACTTGTTAGGTTTCTATAAGAATTATTTTAGATATTAAATATAGAAACTGTTATTTTCAGAAGAAATAATTTTTGAACTTGAAATACTCCATAAACACATATTCTTACTTTAAAGATAATAGATTTCATGTCTTCTTCTTGCTTGAAAACATATAAAAAGCCAATGTTACTTTAAAATGAGATAATCTGTTACTTTAAAATCAATGAATTTAATAACTTGTATTGGTTCAGTACCAATTTTAAGAAATTACACAATACAGGGGAGATCAGTAAAGAATAAAATTCACCATATAAACAATAATAATTTTTGAAGAGTTCTTTTATTCAGTATTGTATTATATATAATGTTTTTCTTGCTTAGTTATTAGCAGTTTTTTTGAACATAATTTGAACAAAGTGAAAATGTACATGGCAGAATGGTGTCAGATTGATGGATTATTAAAAACTGGTAAATCAGAGTAGTCCTAGTTAATATTAACTCTTATAACATCAAGAAATCCCTTTTAAAGGATTAAATAAATCCATTGCTACTTACTGAATTTCTGCCAAATTGCAGCAAGATATCATAGTAAGTGTATCCAGCAAACACCAGCCTGATCTTTCCATATGTCTATTTAATTTTCATGTGATATTGGCTACAGTGTTAACTCCCTGAAAGTAGAAATAATTTATCTCTGGAAAACAATCACAATACCATTCATATTATATTATTTTCATCCAGAAATAAAAGTCATTTGAAAAAGCCATTGACATAGTCTATAATTAGTATCACAGCTACTAAGTTAAAATGGCCAATGATGTCTAGTTATTAAACATCACAAACATTCTATAAATGCATACATTTATCTAGAAAATGCTAGGTCTAACTATGAGTACTAGGGGGAGAATTTCTTGACTTCCAACATAATTTTCTCCTGAACTTCTGTCTTTTACATTGTTTGTAAAGTCTTCTTTCTAGCTTCCCTTTACCAAGGCCTTTTCTATTGCAGGTTGTTTCACTTTAGCATGCTAATGATTACAATAGAAACTTATGCTATTCACAACAGGATCCTTTACGTGTTACAGTAGCACAATTTTAAATGTTCGGAAGCTCTGTGTTAAAACTTAGTTTTTGACAAAATGGTTCAAGTTCCCCTTATTAAGAAACCAGCTCTCTCTTATTCTCTGAGAAAGTCCCTTTGCAGATGAGGCACACTACTGCACTGTGTCATCACTTATACAGGATAGGTTTGCTCACACATGGCGCCTCTCAGGTAGATTGTTTTGCAACGGCTTTATTTCATTTCTCCCTCTTCACATTGCAGCTTCTTTAACATAAAGTGCAAAGCAAGCCTCACTTTGCTATTCCTCTGGAGACATCCTACTCTTAAGCAGCAACATTTCTCCTTCCAGCTCACTGTGTCAGTGTCTCTCCCAGTAGCTCAAATAGCATCATTTGGGGAACGTATTAAACATTTGGTGTAGGACAGATAATTTGTTACTTTAAAACTTGCATAAATATCTTTCCATGAGAATAATTAATTTAGTGATAACATAATATTTCTCCAAAATATTTCATGTTGGTGGTTTCATCACACAAAACTAATAATTTGTAATGTTTGGAATGTATTTTTCTGAAGAGGAGACTTTATTGAAAATAAAGAACACTTAAAAGACCTATACCACAGAAAGTGATTTTTTCCTTTATATTAAAAGAAATATCTTTTAGATTATTTATTGTATTTGGAAAATGGAAACTAACTGTCCCACCCTTCTCCTTCCCTCCAAATATACTTTCCAAAACCTTGGACAAGCATTCTATGACTGTCACTGGTAGGTTCAATGTTAATTTAGTAATCAAGTGCTTTTTTGTAAGCTTATTTTCCAAAAGTAAAGTTCCAAGAACAACTTTCTATGAAACTGCAGTCATGCATCTTGTGTGGGCATGTCTCAGATGCTAATTGGATGTGTTGACTTATACCTTAAATACTTTTCATGGTGAATGAGATTCCATATTCACTATGTCGTTTAATTGTTTAATCCTATCATTAGAACATTTTATGAAGTAATAAATTTCATAAGAAAACTTTCATTTCTCCTGTGGGTTATTTTTCAAAGCTTAGAAACAGAATTCTAAAGGTAGCTTTTCCTCCTGACTCATATTCCAGAAGACATGGAAGCCAGCTGATTCACAATCCCCTCTATAAAGGGGGAATATTCTTGACTTAGAAATTGGTTGGGTTCTTTGAGGTACAGAAAGTTGTTCTCATTTGGAGAACAAGCTGGTTTCACACTAGAACCATTTGGAGAAGTTTTACAAAGAACTCAAACTCAGACCTGATCCCGAGAGATCCTGATTTAATTGATCTGGGGTGAGTAAGCCCAGAGACCAGTATTTTTAAAGCTTCCCAAGTACTTATAATGTGCAACCATGATTGAAGACTTCTAGTTAGAACACCTACAAAGTCTTTACCATGTTGCTCTTGCCTTTCATGATACTACCCAATTTCACATATATGAATTGGCAGCAAGTAAGGCACTCTTAGAGAGACACATTATTGTCTGGTATCTTTTGGGAATGATTATTATGAAGGAAAGAATTCTGCAGGTAAGAGAAATTTGGCCTATCAATGGGGAATATTAAATAGTTAACCAAATTTGTTGGGAATTTCTCTAATAAATATTATATAAGTCTATACCTTGAAGAAAATATACTAAACATCATTTAATCTTTTCTTGGTGGCTCAATATTATCATTGTAGACACCTGTGGTTGTATTATCTTGTCTTGGTAATATTTCTACACTTCCACTCAGTGGTGTCAGAGTTTTGAAAGTTTTTGGAGGTGGTGTTTCTTATCATCCCTCAGTCTCAATTATTACTTCTTAGTGATTTTAACTGTCTGATCTCACCCACCTATTTCTCTTTGCTTTTGACCTTTCTGCATCAGATCTAATGATGTAAATATTGATTATGCTGAAATGACTTAATATCATTTGGGCAGATCTTAAAGCTTGAGGAAACAGGTAATCGTGCTTATTAAATCAAGTACCTTTGATGATTCATAAATTCATGTTTAGTAGGCTCTGTGGTGAGAACATAGAAATGGCTACTCTGCAAGAGAAACCACTTGAAGACTGAGACTAAGTTTCCTTCTTGCAATTCTTTATTCATTTTTTTCTCTTTCATGATTGCATTCAGATTTTTTTACATTTTAGGTTCACGATCTGTGCAGTCTATTCCAACTTTATGAAGTTAGGCTAATATTAATGTAGAAGAGTATGAATAATATTAAATGGTGTATTGCATAAGAAATATATATTTATCTCATTTCTTAGAACTGAGTAATTCCTTGTCTTCTTCTGTCATTAAAAATTGCTTCTGAAGATCTCTCACCTACAAACTCATATAAGATTTCCTCATCTGGAGTCCTTTAGAAGAATGCATCAAAAAGTTATAGCATAAAGTGTGATGTGAATTCAGTTTATTTTACCTTTTTGTGTTCTTTGGGTTAAAGCCAGGAGAGATTTTTATGTATGAAATATATATGTAATATGAGATGAATATATTCCCTCACTAAATAGTATCCCTGAGCTAAAACTCCCTGTCAACCATGCAGAGCAACACAGCAGCCATGTGATGGCATTTCAGCTACAAAATACTGGAAAATGTTACAACTTGTCAAATAATAATCCCACTTAGTCCCTTGGCCCGCAGGCTCAGTAATTCCAAGCTATTTTCTCTGCCATCAGCAGGTCCCAGTGAGATCACATTGTCTGCTGCACCATATGAAGCAAAAAGCCAGATTCAATATACATATAAAAGGATTTCCTGTTGCCCTAACTCTTCTCCAGGAAAGCGTTTTATAGTGGCCTAAATTGTATGCCCTCAAAATAGATGTTCAAGTGCTAATCCTTGAAACCTGTCAATGTGACCTTATTTGGAAATGGCTTCCTTGCAGACATAATTAGTTATGATGAGATCACACTGGTTCAGGGTGGCCCCTACATCCAACGACAGATGTAAGGACTTACAAGAAGAGGAGAGGTCACACAGAGGCGCACGCAGAGAATACCTTGTGAAGACAGGGGTGGAGAGCGCAGCTACAAGCCAAGGCATGAACGGTAAGGATGGCTGGGAGCCAAGAGACGCTAGGATGCATCAAGGAGGGATTCTCACCTAGAGCCTTCAGAGAGAGGAAGGCCCTGCCAGCACCTTGGCTTTGAACTTCTAGCCTCTAGAACTGTAAAAGGATACATTTCTGTTGTTTTTACCATCTCCCCACTCCCTATCTGTGGTAATTTGTTACTGTAGCCTCCAGGAAACTTATACAGCACTGAAACAAAAACTTTCCATTACAGCAAATTTCAGCGTGGAGAAGGAAAGCAATCATCTGTTAACCTCTCACCATATTGAGAATAGCCTGATCTCTTTTTTTTTTTTTTTTTTTTTTTTTTTTTGAGACGGAGTTTCGCTCGTTACCCAGGCTGGAGTGCAATGGCGCGATCTCGGCTCACTGCAACCTCCGCCTCCTGGGTTCAGGCAATTCTCCTGCCTCAGCCTCCTGAGTAGCTGGGACTACAGCACCCGCCACCATGCCCAGCTGATTTTTTGTATTTTTTTTTTTTTTTAGTAGAGACGGGGTTTCACCGTGTTGACCAGGATGGTCTTGATCTCTTGACCTCATGATCCACCCGCCTCGGCCTCCCAAAGTGCTGGGATTACAGGCGTGAGCCACCGCGCCCGGCCTAGCCTGATCTCTTAAACCCTCCATCTACTCTGCCTCTCCCCCTCCTGCCTCCCCAGCATTGATGGGTCTCCTGTTGGTATTTGGTCTTCTTTTCCTGTTCTTGGCTGAACCAAGAAATCCCTCACATACTTTACCCAGCGCCACCAGGTATTACTGATGATGTTCCACGGCACAGCATTACAAGCATCCTGTGAATGTTGTTTTCACAGAATGAAAGCAACACCATCACCTAGGCTGGAGTGCAGTGGTGAGATCATAGTTCAGTGTTACTTCCAGCTCCTGGGCTCAAGAAATCCTCTCACCTCAGCCCCACGAGTGGCTATGACTACATGTGGGCACAACAAAAAAATTTCTAATTTTTTTTTGTAGAAATGGGGTCTCACCCTGTTACCCAGACTGGTTTTAAACTCCTGGGCTCGAGCAATCCTACCTCAGCCTCTCAGATAGCTGGGGTTATAGGCATGAGCCACAGTGCCCCTCCTCAAGTTAATTTTTACATATAGTGAGAAATAAGAGTCCAGTGTCATCCACTTTGTTGGTGTAGAATTGTTCATAGTATTTTCTTATAATGCTTTTAAATTTTTTTGTGAAATCGCTGGTAACATCCCTACTTTTATTTCTAATTTTAGTAATTTGGCTTCTCTTTTTGTTCTTGATCATCAGTCTTGCTAAAGGTCTGTCAATCTTTTCAAACAACTAGCTTTTAGTTTCATTGATTTTTACTATAATTTTTTCAGTTTTTAATTTCACTAATTTCTGCTCAAATCTTTATGATTTCTTTTCTTCTCTCTCCTTTAGGTTTAGTTTGCTTTTCTTCCCCCCCTCCATTTTGAGGTACAAGGTTAGGCTATTGATTTAACTCTCTCTTCACATGAGCCTTTGTGGCTATAGCTTTCTAAGTAACATTTTATCTGCATTCTGTAAGTCTTAGTATGTTGCCTTCATTTTCAGGCATCTCAAAGTGTTTTTGGATTTCTTTATTGATTGCTTCTTTGACCCATTGGTTATTTAAGAGTGTGTCACATAATTTCCATATCTGTGAGTTTCCCAAATTTTTTCCTGCCATTGATTTCTAATTTCATTCCATTGTGGTCAGAAAATGTTCTTTGTATCATTTATTTCCTTTTAAATTTGTTGAGGTTTGCTTTATGGACTAGAATATGGTCCATTCTGGAAAACAGTACTCTTCCATCTCACTTTGGACAGTTGAGAATATAATCAGTATCTTTAATTCTAACTTAAAATAGAAATAATATATAACCAATTCTTCACTGGAATCTGACTCATATTAAAGAATTTTGACATTATAATCAGGTTGTGTTTACTCAAATGTAAATATAGGTAGATAGGCACTAGGCACCAATGCCGGTCTCCTTCATTTAAATCATTGCAGAAACTTGCTCTTGTAATTTAACAGCATTATAATTCTGATAGTAATAACTGAGAAAGCCACAACAATTGAGTGTTTGAGCACCCTACTTTTAGTAGATAACCAGTGGAAATGATGTTTACTTTGTCATAAATGAACACTAACCCACTAAACCATTTAAATAACTGTATAAGTAATATTCAACTGGACTTAACATACAGAGTGGGAGACAAAACCAGTCTTGGATCATGAATGTTCCAAGAAAAATTAGACTCCTATTCCAATCCTATTGAAATTCGATGATGCATTGATCATTAATGGGAACTAATTTGCAGGATGCTACTAAATAATATTTTTGAAATTTAAGAAACAATCTTTCAAAGAGTGTATCAAAATGGACCTGACTTCTAATTTAGGGAATTGGTGAATTAATATGGGAATATATAATCATACATCTATCTGCTAGCAAATTGTAATCAGCATTACAAATTGTGGTGACTAGTAATGACAGAGTATCAAAATGCATTTGAAAATCACATACTTTTCATAATTTCCATTAAGGTGTCTGGTCCCCATTACGTCTCTAATGACTTTGACCAGTACCCCAGCATTTGTTCATTCCACTCCCACCACACTGGCTACTTGCTATTCCCGGAGCTCTCCCATCTTTCTCGTGGGTGATCGCTCGCACAGAAATGCTTTTCCCTTAGAGATCCCTGTGTGAATTCCTTGACTTCCTTCAAGTCTGCTCACATGTTACTTTCTCGAACAGGTGTGCATGTATTTAAGATCCTATTTGAAATTCAAGCTGCCCCCATGTCTCTCCCACTGCTGGCACTCTTGATCCCCTTACTCCAATATAAAATTTTCTGTGTTGAATAACATTTATCATTTCCTAACACACTGCATAGTTTACTTGTTTATTATGTATATGTTTTGGTTTTTCTCCCCATGCTAGAATGTAAATCCTACCAAAGCAAGGATTTTAGCTGTTTTTCTTTTTCCTCTCTCTAGAATATCATAAATGCCCAAAACTGAGCATAGCTCATTCTTGCAAGAAATACTTATTGTGCACTTACTAAATGCTAACTATTGTGCTAGCCATACTGTTAGATGGTGTGTTAAAACTTAGACGTTCACGGCTCTCATGGAGTTTATCTCTGAATGAGAGAGATGGAGGCTAATTAATAATCATACACAATAAAATACAAAATTGAGATATCTATTCATTCTGAAGAAAATAAAGTCTTATGAAAATATAACAAAGAAAATATATTTAGAAGTAGAGTTCATGGGTTAGGAAAGCCTTTGCTCTAATATCAGAAAATTATTCTTGAACTGAGATATGAACTATAAGCAGGAGTTTACGAAGAGGACTTGCAAATGTTCAGTGGCTAAGAGGAGCAGAAAAAAGAGGGAGGACTGTATAGGATAGCAGGAGAGTAGGAGGCTCAGCTGGAACAGACCTATGGGCTGAATGATAGTTTTGTCTATTGTCCAAGAAAAATGGGAAACCACTGATTTGTCTTTTCTATGGGGGGAGGGGTCTTGTTTTATTTTCTGCAGAGCAGGAGACAGGGGGAAGGCATAAGAAATAGGATCATAATTATGTTTTGATGAGCTGAGTTTGACTTTGGCTGTAGTGTGGAGAATTATAATGAGGTCTGATTATTCAGGATCTTTTCAGAATTTCTGTTTATAGATGGAGGTTAAAATAAATTAAACAAGGCTGGGTGCAGTGGCTTATGCCTGTAACCCCAGCACTCTGGGAGGCTGAGGCAGGTGGATCACTTGAGATCAGGAGTTCAAGACCAGCCTGGCCAACATGGTGAAACCCCATCTCTGCTAAAAGTACAAAAATTAGCTGAGCATGGTGGCACGTGCCTGTAATCCCACCTACTCAGGAGGCTGAGGCAGGAGACTTGCTTTAACCCAAGAGGTAGAGGTTGTAGTGAGCTGAGTTCTCACCACTGCACTCCAGCCTGGGTGACAGAGCAAGACTCCAGCTTGAAAAAAATATTAAACAAATATATTTTCTCATAGGAGTGTTTCATGGTAAAAGTAAAATATCTTACAGTATAATTCTACCAACGGGTAGTTTTCAAACTCTATTGTTTATGCGTAAGGTCAGAGAAACTCAAGTAATGAATATCTGGTACTCTAAATTCTATGTGATTCTTAAATAAAGTTGAAATAAGAAATATAGATTTCTATGTGTCTGACTAGACTTATATCTGTATGTGTAAATAGAAACATAATATGCAAGATTTTTTAAAAGTGTATCTTAAATTATTTGTTAAATATGCACAAATATTGATTCCAGTCTCATTACACATTTCATTTGCTTGCTAGACTTTAATGAATATATTTTCTAACCCATAAATAAATTTCTGTCGTAACTTAGCTCATGCTTATTTTTAAAAAGGAAAAAAAGTTTAAATAAAATCTTATCACCAAGACAGTGGGAGGCTTTTTTTCCCTGCTAGTATAATGGCATTTTATGATATTCCTGTGTATGTAAGTGATACAGATGACTGTGAGAAATAGAAGTGTTCCAACTGAGGACTGTGCAAAGGATGCCCCCACTATCCAATAGTGCTGCAAAATTCTATCAGAAATATCCCGACTAAATACGTGGAATTGTATAATGCTACTTAATCTAAAACTTGCTTAAAGAATTCCTGAATTCCACAATACTATGGCCCAGGCAGTTTCCAGAGATACTACTGTGATAGAACTCAGCAGGGGTGGCACAAAGCTATTTCCCACTTTTACTTTCTGTATTTTGGCTGTCTGAATTTTCATTTGTCCAGATATCAGTAATATTGCATTAAATTCTATTCTTCATGGAATTTCAGCCCCTGGAAATACACCGTCTGCTCCACTATACAAGCCTTTTTTCTCACCTTCTTATCCTACAGACCTACTGTTGAGCAGTCCTTTACTTAAGAACTTGATAAGTGGGAAAGAGATTACTTTATTATTATTTCTTTAAGACCACTGTTCGAATTGATTTAGAAGAGAAAAGCAACTTACTTTTGGCTCTTTTATTGTTATTGTTTTGTATTTAGTGACAATATTTTTGCTATAAATCTACAGTTTTTAAAATACAGCATGTTATATGAGTTAAATTGTATACCAGAAGGCTATGGGCTTCTATTCTCAGAGTGATAAGCTAAATGAGTATCATGGTCTCTTACTTTTCAAGAAAGTTTGCTTATAGTTTCCTTTTATTTCATTTTACTGATTTGTTTAAATTTAAGAAGTACGAGTACAATTTTGTTACATAGATACATTGAGTAATGGTGCAGTCTGGGCTTTTAGTGTAAACATCACCTAACTAGTGTACACTGTACCCATTAAGTAATTTCTCAGCACTCACCTACTCTTCCCAGTCACCAGTTATTATTTCACAGTCTATGTCCATATGTACAAATAATTTAGCTCCCACTTTTAAGTGAGATCAGGCAGTATCTGACTTTCTTTTTCTGAATTGTTTCACTTAAGATAATTATCTCCAGTTTCATCCATGTTGCTGCAAAGAACATGATTTCATTATTTTTTGTGGCTGGATAGTATTCCATGGTGTGTGTATGTATGTATATAGAACATTTTCTTTTTCTCATCATCTGTTCATGGACTCTCAGATTGATACCATGTCTTTGCTCCTGTGAAAACTGCAGCAATAAACATAGGAATGCAGGTATCTTTGTGATATAATGATTTGTATTCCTTTGGGTAGATACCCATTAGTGGGATTGCTGGATCTATTTTTAAGCAAACAAGAAAAACCTTAAAATATCTCTTCCCCCACAAAGCAAACAAAAAATATTCCTGAGCCTTGGAGGCAGTTTAAACACTTTGGCAGTGTGTCTATTTGCTGGCTCAAAGAAGCAAGAATCATGCTGGAAGCAGCCTTCTGCAAAGGCAGTGGTTACATAGGCAATAGAAACATGCAGAACAAGTGCTGGAGGGAAAGTGGCAGACCCAGGATTCAAACTTTAGTACTTCTTAGTAGCTGTATAACTCTATTTCAGTCACTTCAATTGTCTGTGTTTCTTCTTCCATGAAACAGAGATAATAACACTTCACTTAGTAACATACAGGAAAGTGTCTTATAGAATAGAAACCCTTAAACATCCAAAGAATTTTATTTTTTAACATGAGATCAAGAAGCACTGATATCTATTAATTTTCATTTGGCTAATATCTCTTGCCTTGGGCATTTTAGATACACCAAGTCATGTGTTTTTGCAGTGATTTCAAAAGACTGAGTATTTAGGTTAAAGCAAAGTAACGAAGCACCTTCTTCTTTGAGAAAAATCACGTGGGCTTTAAAAATAAAATATTGACTGAATCTTGGTGCTGGTGGGGAAGTGCCTGATGTGTTAGATTCAGACATAGCTTTAGGTAAAACAAATGATCTGTTTTTCCCTTAGCTCATCAAACACCCGAGTGCCTATATGTCCAATTATAATGATTTAAATGTGTCTAACATTTTGAATATTATTAAGATAACTCTTAATGTTTCCTAACGACAGTGAACATTTATTGTAAAGCAGATAAACTCTATTATTTTACACCAAATTTACTAATACAAAATCATTTCTTCAACTATTTGAAGAATGATAAAACTTAAGCACATCATCTCAGTGTTTTTGTTTTCATGAATTATATACATTGCATTAACCATGCCAACTAATTTAATTGATGTTATTTCCTTTTACTCTCCTAAACACTGACATATACTCATGGCTGTTTTTGAACCAAAAATCTGATTTATTCATTAAACAGTCATTATATCATAGTGTACCCAATTTATTTTCAATTTATAACGAATAAAAACAAGTTGTCATTTTAAGCTATATTCTTGCAGTATTACTGAATTTTTTCTGACATTTACATTCTTTTTCATTGATTTTGTTAAATGTGACATACTGGCTGTTGTTCGCTAATTAGCTTCAACATGAACTTCACATTTCTGACATTCAATGAAATCTTAATATCTGTATAAGTTGATTCAAAAAAAATTTAAGCATGTATAAGTCCTGCCAACCCTTCCAAGGGCCAATTAATCATGATATCACTTTAATAAATCTACCCACCGTGGCAATTATTCATTTATTCATCTATTTAACAAATATTTATTGGAAACAATCTTGCCAGGTACTGTTCTTAGTGTGTGGGATACATGGATAAACATAACAAATAAAATAATCCTTGTCTTCATGGACTTACTTAAAACAAATGAAGAAACTGAAGCACAGAGTGAATAAATTACTGGTCAAAAGGACACAACTAGTATAGTTTTGAGGGTTTACTCCTTGACTTCAAATCACAATATACCCAGTTAATTGTAGAGATGGGCTTAAAATCCATGACTGTCAGCTCCCAGACTAGGGATATTCCCACAATTCCACTTTCTTTTCCTACCACACCACTTCATACTTGTTTGTAATGATTTCTGAATAGTAATTTAACAATTGTTGGAATTATACTTTTCTACAGTCTGATAAAAACAATACAATTTTTACCATTTGCAGTGATGATTTTTCTTTGGGTTCCTTTCTAGGGAAGAGGCTCTGTAGTCTTACCTTCCCAATTATGAAGTAAGCAATGATGACCTCTTTTACTCGTGAATCTAACAGTGGTTGGACATAGATAATTGGTATGAAATACTTAATGAATGATTAGCTTTGATAAAGAATTCTGAGACAATTTTTATGCTATTGTTACTAATTGAACCCTGGGTATATTCTTTCAAGATGAGAT